GCACACGGCATCGCGTCGTCAACCTGCGCCAGGCGCCTTCCGATGGTAATTCCATTTCCACGCATCATTCGCGGCAAGCAGCAGCAGAGGGGGAGATCAGGGCGTGCGTGTCTTTGTGTGTGTAGGGGGGAGGAGGAGGAGGGACCCGTCACGGGCGCCGTCAGCTGGTAGTGCATGTTGTCAGTTATCTCCAGTCATGTACAGCGCTCGGAGTGAGTATTGAATTGAGTGCATCATGCGCCGGGCACACGGGCAGCGGACCGGGGGACTCTCGCGCGTGCTTCGTACCGTCGCGCCGCACTGGCCGCGGGGACGCATAGCGACACCGCTGCCGGGGGCAAAACAAAGATTGGGGGTGGGGGGGGGGTGGGGGGAACGTGCGCCGTCAGAGATTGTTCACCCGTTGAGTACAGTAGTCGACACGGCGCGCACGGCCTCGCGGCTGCGCGGTCTGCCCACGGCAGTCTCTGCACGTCATCGCAAGCGCACCTCCGCGTCTCGCCGCACCGATTGGACGCCACGCCACCGACTCGGCGTCGCCCTGCCCGGAGTGGCTGCACACACACACACACACACACGTCGGGCCGCACCTCGCAGGTGGTGGCGGCGGGCTGCGGTCGACTCCCTCGCGGGCCTCATCCACGTTCGTTGGTGTAGTATAGTTCCGTGAGGCGTGCATCGGGTCATAATCATCAGGCTCGTTAGGTGGAAGACGCATCGCTAATCACCGGTCCGCAGTTCGTGGAGTCAACGCGCCGCGCCGCCAAGGAGCGCCCGGCTGCAGGGGCGCCGGGCATCAGCTGGTGTTCTTAGATTCCTGCGGGTCGCTCACGAGGGTCGGCAAATGTGCAAACAAGTTGGGGTCATCACTGCCACGGCGCGACGGCGGCCGCCGCGGGGGCGGCGAGGAGGGGGAGGAGGACAACAACGGGGGAGGGTGGGCTCGCCGCCTCAGTAGTACGAGTAACAGTTGAGGTAGTAATGCACACGGCATCGCGTCGTCAACCTGCGCCAGGCGCCTTCCGATGGTAATTCCATTTCCACGCATCATTCGCGGCAGCAGCAGCAGCAGAGGGGGAGATCAGGGCGTGCGTGTCTTTGTGTGTGTAGGGGGGAGGAGGAGGAGGGACCCGTCACGGGCGCCGTCAGCTGGTAGTGCATGTTGTCAGTTATCTCCAGTCATGTACAGCGCTCGGAGTGAGTATTGAATTGAGTGCATCATGCGCCGGGCACACGGGCAGCGGACC